TGGAAATCTATTAAGATGTTTGCAACACTCTTAAAAGGGTTTATAAACAACTTAAGTCTCATAAAGATGATATAGGATTCTAAATGCAAAAAAAAAGAAGGAAATGCAATGGAAACAAAGAAATAACTCACGAAAATGGCAGAAACCTAGGGATTAAAACCGTTTAAATACGAACACATAACTTACAAGGCTTGTCACTCGATGTAGAACTATAATGCACACCTGTAATATGAACATTATGATATGATAAACCGTAGAACGGAAACACCTGCCATGATGTTCTGGTGGCGAGATATTTATCAGTGAGGACATATCCTTAATTTAGACAGTCAAGTAACAATCACTCAAGTAATATTGCATTCAAATGATCACAGCACCATGCACAAACATATCACATTACACTTTTTATGTTTGACTGGTTATTTGTTGGCCAAGTAACAATCGATGCTTATCTAAATTCTATATGAAAGATCCTTAAGCGGTGCAATTATTCTATCATCACTTAACCATGATCATCCAATGACAATTCAAGCATTCTCATCCATCAATCCACATGCAATGCTTGTGTTATATGATTATAATTTGATAATTTTAATTAGATTATTCAATTTCATTTCTCATCCGAATGCATTCACTAACTCTATATATGATTCAGCTCTATCGTTTATGCGTTTGGTTTCAATATGAATCCAAATTATATATGATTCATTTTCATACAAACGTTTCTAATACAAGACATTTTAGGTTCATACAATTCAGTCATTCTATCATACACTTCTATTCAATTACATACAATCATTGTTAATCAGTATGCACAACATCATTCTCCAACAATGTGATTCCATACTATTCCATTAGTGACTTAATATATGTAAGGTACTGCTAATGGACCCATCTAATTCAGTGAGTTCGGGCTGCCATAATATCACGGGCTGGAGTAGGGTTGACGCGACAATATATATTAGAAATATACAGATTTTATACTTCCTATTCCTAATTGTACTGGGGTTTGGAGCTGTATATATATATACAACCGGCCCTGAATATCTTGAGCTCCCAAACATAAAAAAATTTGGCCCATTAATTTTTTTTTTTTTTTAAACGTAAGCTTAACTTGAAAGTCTCGAACATGTGATATGCACGTTTCTATATATATCTAATGTGTGTGTGTTATAAAGATTTGTAAATGATGATTCACATAATCAATAACAAACCCTAGAAAATGAGTAATTTATT